GCACTGGTTGCCGGGTGCCATTTCTGCTGACCATTGTTCTTGATGCATCTCATCAGGCTCAAGTTAAAGCTGCATCCTGTTATTCAGGATAGACCGAAACCAGACCCCAGTTTAGCAGGGCACGTGTTTGCCCTGGTCAGGGTTGGCGGGCAGTTTCCCAGGCTACAGTTTCCCAAGGTACAATTTCCCCATCTGGTGATTTTCTACTTCTCCTAGGCCTACCTAGGTCGGTCACTCCTCTGACAGCCACAAGATGCTGACAGTAGGGGACCAGAGTCTCCAGCAGAACGTAAGGACATCCAGTCAGCATCCTTCTAGTTGGTACCAAAGTGGCAGGGCCGCTGTTGCTGCTGTAGAGGTTAAGGTTTCGACCTCTTGTATTGTGCGAGGAAGCCACTTCCAAGTCAGCTCAGAAGTGTCCCCCCGAATGATTGTTCCCTCACGTCCTTTTCTCACCACCGGATGTTTTGCCCATGCAGGTTCCTTCCTCTGTGACCTGGGAGGTCAGTCAGCACCCTGGCCCCCACACACATGTGCCTGGAAGGGCAGCCCCTGCACAGATGGGCACTCAGACCACTGACAGGTGGTGATGCTGGAGTCCAGTGAAACCCAGGCTAAAAAAGGTTCCCAAGGAAAGGAAAGGGTCAGCGTAACACGCCCAGGGCAGGTGAGTCCAACATGGGAGTCTGGACCAGGGCTGCATGTCAGGTTCAGAAGCTGTTGTAAGAAATCCTGTCTCTGCCTGGCTGGTGTAGCTCAGTGGTTTGAGCCCAGGCTGCGAACCAAAGGATCTCTGGTTTGATTCCCAGTCAGGGCACAAGCCTGGGTTGCAGGCCAGGTCCCCAGTGGGGGACGTGTGAGAGGCAACCACACCCTGATGTTTCTCTCCCTCTCTTTCTCCTTCCCTTCCCCTCTGGTTAAAGAAATAAATAAAATTTTAAAGAAAGAAAAGAAATCCTGCCTCTTAGGGAACTGCTAATCTAAACAACAATGAGATTGCTCAAACATTACAAAGAGAACTCCACATGACCTCTGTTGTTTGTCTAATTTGTCTAAAAAAAATGTAAACACTAATTCAAAGGGCACCTGCTCTCCTCAGTCCATTGAAATGGCACATTGTCGATAATAGCCACAATGGTGGTGGGGACATGGGGACACCTGGGTGTCATCAGCAGATGGACAGAAGTAACTGCGGTATACCCAGGGTCCGGCAGAGGGAAGGCCTGCTTCAGCGTGGCAGGGAGGGCAATGGTATGGGTGCAATAATATGTAGTTTTAATTTGAACATCTCACCTAAAATGTCATATGGTGTGCTTGGGTGTGATATTGTTATGTTACAGAATCACCTGCTTATGATTTTATAATAAAAGATTTTATCATGAAAAAGGATGCTATTTGTGCCAGACCCTGTATACAGTAAATATACTGTATAAAAAAAAAAAACTGAGTATTGCTCAGCCATTAAAAAATGTGAAATCTTTGCACTGGTGACAAAACAGATGGTCCTGGAGGTGTTATATTAAGTAAAATACATGTAAAAAAATCTGTCAGGAAAACATTAAATGACAAAACAAGAAGAGAGGACCCGACCGCAGGAGCCAGGGAGGGAGGGCGCGTGGGATGGGGGGGCGTGAGCCCGGATCCAGAACGGCCTCCGGAAGCTGGAAAAGCGAAAACGGGTTCCCCAGAGTCTGAGGAGGGAGCAGGGTCCTGCAGACACACAGCGCAACTCCAGCACAGCGAGGCCCATGTCAGGCTTCTGGTCTCCAGGACAGTTAGGGAACGTGCAGACGGGCTGAATGCCTTCTCCACTCAGATGCACTCTGCAGACAGCCAGCTGGCCACCTGCTCACTCCTTCGCCCCTTGTCTGAAACTTCCCCCACAGCTTCTGTAGGGTGGCAGGCACATGAGGGCAAAGGGAATCATCCAGGTCTCCTCACTGACTTCGGCAAGAACACCAACCCTAATCGCCACCCCGATTCTAATTTCACACGCACTTTCACCTCACATGGAAGGGAGCAGATGCACAAACCTTTCAAAGATGATCTGTCACAGAACTCTGGCCACGTGTGGGGTGGGAGGACTCCTTAAAGACGCAGCTGGGCGAAGGCCTCAGCTCTTGGTCAAGTGTGCCCGGTGCCCTCTCTGCCCTGTGACCTCCCGGACGCACCCACCACCCAGGACACGTTCTTGCCTCTCGCCGTCATTCTCATAAACTGCGTGTGCCTGTTTCAAAGAGAGTCCACAGACGGGACGCAGGGTATCTGGAAATAGACACTATCCTATGAATTGTTCCGGGCTTTGCTGGCTTCTGAGCGGAGAACAAAATCCTCAGCTGACACAAGGGCCAGACGGGCTTTAGAAACCAGGGGGCTGCCAGAGGAGGGGACAGGAAGGCCTAAGGTTCTGGGCAGAAGTGAAGGGGAAATTGTGACGACGGTAGAAGCAGGGCAGGAAGGAAAGGCCTGCGCTGTTGTCCTGGTTCAGGGTAAAGAGGACGAAACTAGGGGGTGGTGCAGGGAGAGGCGGAGGACTTCGGAGTGCGCGCGGCGTGGTCGCGCTGGGGGTCCCTCCTCCAAGGGGGGAGCCGCGGGGCCTGGAAACGCGACGTGGGAAACCAGCGGGAGCCGTTCCTCCAGACCCGAGGTCTTGAGACGCAGGGAGGCTTTTCAAAAGAAGGAATAAGATGCTACCGGGAGACCCAGATGAGTGTTCTTGGCACTAAAATCAAACACCTGCTGTGAAGAATTCACGGGGCTGAGGGCGGGGGCGGTGGCCAACCCTGTATTGAGGGGGGGGGGGACACATAACCGCAGGGAAGTTTTGGGAAGGCAGAACACGAGGCTGGAGAGCAGTGAGTGCGTGGGGGTGGGAAGGGAGGGAGAACGCGGCCCTAAAGAGAGGAAACCGGCTCTGGCTGGTGTAGCTCAGTGGATTGAGGGGTGGGGTGGTCTCCGAACTAAGGGTTCCCGGTTGGATTCCCAGTCAGGGCACATGCTGGGTTGCAGGCCAGTTCCCAGCGGGGGACGCACGAGAGGCAACCATACATTGATATTTCTCTCCCTCTCTCCTTCCCTTCCCAACTAAAGATAAATGAGTATTTTAAAAGAAAAGAGAGAGAGAGAGGTAACCAGAGAGCCATCTCTGTTCTCATCCCCAAGGGCATTGTAGGGCCCGGGGCCCCAAGGAGACTGGAGACCCGGTCCTGGCAGAGGGGTCAGAGCGCGCCCGAGGGTGAGAAGACTCGCAGCCCCTGGGAGACTGAGGGTCTGGGGAACCAGGAGGATGGAGGGGGGGGGGGGGGGGGGGCGCAGCCGCCTGGAGGCAGGTGGTTCCGAAGAGAAAGAGAGTCCGGGGCGCGGAGGCGGGTGTGTACCCAGGAAGGTGGGTAGTGATGTGGGCAGGAAAGTGTGAGGTCAGGGCCAGGCTGGTGCGAGCAGATCGCGGTTTTCGGAGCCCGGCCCCAGCCCGGGGGGAGACTGGAGCTGCCCCGCTCCCAGGGCGGGTGCAGGGCGGGCAGTTGCGACTCCGCTCGGAAGCGCCTGGGAGACGCGAGCCCCGAGTCCACTGGCCCAGAGGCCGCACTGGGGAGCGAGTGCCCGGGACCCAGGCACTCGGAGGGGCTGCGGAGCGCCCGGCGGCGGGGCTGGGGTGCCCGAAAGAAGCGGTGGGGGCTGCGTCTTCGGGGTCTCGATGGAGACAGTGCCAAACACATCGATACTTCGGGGTCTTTCGATCCTTAAACACGGACCTCTTTCCATGTCTTCGTCTCTTCTTATCTTTCTTTCAGAAATAGTTGGTAGTTTTTAGTGCGTATATCTTCCACCTACTTGGTTCATTTGTTCCCCCTGAGCATTCTGTTCTTCCTGATACTATTATTGTAAGTGAAACCGTTTTTCTTAACTTCGTTTTGGGTTTATTGTTGTGGCAAAGATTTGGAAGTGGTGCTGAGGGTTGATTTTGGCTCCTGCAACGTCACCGAATTTATTCGTTCTAGACGTTTTCTTGGGGGGGGGGAATCTTTAAGGTGTTCCACGGGTAACATTGAGACAGAAAAAGAAAAAAGAAAAGCTTGCTTCAGGATACAAATCAGGATTTCCTCTTAGCCTAATTTCATTAAGCATGGTAAATACGAGGGCTCCGGGCAGACAGCTGTGGCTGGACATCCCGTGTCCCACTGTTTCCGAGTTGCCTAGAAAAATCTGTCTTGCTGTCTAAAATCTGCCCTGTGAACTGCCTGTAAGTTGCCCAGCCTGACTTCTGAAATCTATGACAGCATTTTCTCCTTTTTTTTTTTATCATTTATCCAAAAAGTTTTATGTACCTCATGTTGCCTCATGGCTGTTGAAATTTTCATGCTTATGTAAATTTCCCATGCTTGTATAGTAAAAATGTGATCTTCTCCTGCCAATCTGACTCTGTTAATGATTAGCGCAGGCAGAGGAATTTAGGAGGTGGGAAGAACGGTATTACACTTTTCTAGCTTCCATGTTAGTCAGCATTTGTGTGGCTGCTGGGTGGAGGGCAGGGAGCCCAGTAAGGGAGGGGGCCAGCGCCGTCCCCCAGGTGACAGGGGAGGGCGGTCTGGTCAGCGTGAGAAAAGGGGATCAGTTTCTGGCTTCATTCCTTCCGAGCACAGAGTTGAAGGACTTGCTGAAGAATGGGGTGTTGAGTGTAAGAGAAAGAGAGGCATGGGAAAAACACAGAGATCCAGAAAAATTCTGTAGCAGCACACTGAGGTCAATAATTTGACTGGAATTAAGGATCTTTAGACATCTTAAAGTACCTTTTACAGAGCAATCATCAAGTAAATAATTGGACATCAGCAGCAGTGGCCACTCTGCCTCTCTCGTCCACTGCCATGTCCCCAGGACAGTGCCTGGCAGGTCCACGGTACAAGTCCATTACACATTTCCAGAATCAACCAATTAGCAAGGGATAAACAACCAAAATCTCCCCTGGACACCCACACACAACATTTTGTCGTTGACAAAGAAAAGACAGAGATGCCACAGAGGTACCGAGACGGCAGGAGCCTCGATTAGCCCATTTGCTGCCGTGCGGCCCACCAGGGACTTTCTCCAGCCTGCTGTGCGTTGTTGGAACTAAATTCAGCAACGTGAGAGCACTTGGGTGGGATTGAAACGGAGCCTCGGCAATACTCCCCCCTCCCGATTCTCAGCAACAGAGGTGCAACCTGACGACTTCAGGCCGCAACACGCTCAACAGGTACTATTTAAAATTAGGGACGTGTAAAAACTCAGTGAAAGAACTGATTAAACAGTAAGCGACAAGAGCGTAAATACTAATGTGAGACATGAGCCAGGGGCGCGGGGCTCCTGGTTCTTCCTAGGCAGCTGTGGGAAATGTCACAACACTCTTGTCGAGTTGCTTTCCAAAAACGAAGGGGTGGGCAGCAAAGAACGGGGCTTTTTTTTTTTTTTTTTTTAGCAGATTCAAATGCGTCTTTTCGTTTTGCTGTAATAAGTCAAAAGTCGATACACTCAGATGAACAGAACAATGTTTCCGTATTTCATCTGGCTTGGTCAGGAGTCAGGGACTCAGAGACTTTCGTTCAAGGACCAGGAGGGCTGCTAGAACTGAGTTTTCAGTGAGACTCGTGAACCCAGCCTCAGAGCTGTGGTTCTGCTGGGAAGGGAGGCAGAGTTGCTGCCCCAGGTTTGCCCTGCGGATTCTGATTCCGATCTTGTTACTGGGAAACAGAAGGCTCAGAAAGAAATCTCTTTGGCCTCCCTTTTAGCTGCCTAGAAATAATTCAGATGGAAAATCACCTCCTGGTGGGACATTCACAGGAAGATGTTGAGCAAACATTTATCTACCAAACATTCGCTTAGCAAACATTTGCTTTGGCATCTCCATGCAAATGGCTTTTTTGCCTTTCAAGCCTCAAACCACAAAGCTTTTTGTTCTTCCGCTTCAGAGTGACACAGATGCCTCAACTGCCCAATACTTCTTTGGGTCTCTATTCTTATCTCCCCCAGAAGATTCATTAGTAAATAGACTTTTACATTGTCTCCTGTTAACCTGTCTCTGTTAATATGATCATTAGCTCAGCTAAAAGAATTTAAAAGATGAGAGAAAAATATATATATTTTGCTTCCACAGCTGACTGTCATGTTTTCTAGTTAATGAATTAAAGGAAAAAAAAAAAAACAACCTGACAGGTAGGATAGGAAAGAATGCAGATGTGGCCGAAAGCCTGGAAACTTAGCAAAGCAGGCTGCAGGCGATGTATTTCTCAAGACAGAGGAGGATGTGGCCCGCTAAGCAGGGATACATCTGTTCTCTGCTCCTAGGTCAACACACCCGTTGTCTGCAAGCAGGGAGACCTCTGGACCTCTGGACCTCTGGACCTCTGGGAAGACGGAATGATGCCAGGGGAGAAATAAATCAGGTCATAAAAACTTACATCGTGCCCTGGCTGGTGTAGCTCAGTGGATTGAGCGCAGGGCTGGGAACCAACCAACCGTGGTTCGATTCCCAGTCAGGGCACATGTCTGGGTTGCAGGTCAGTTCCCAGCAGGGGACGCACAAGAGGCAACCATACATTGATATTTCTCTCCCTCTCTCTCCTTCTCCTCCCCCCTCTCTAAAAATGAATAAATAAAATCTCTTTAAAAAAAAACAACTTACATCGTAACCCAGCCGTCTGCACAGACCATGACCTTGAAACCCCTAAGCAAGATTTCCCCCATCCCCATTTTTTCCTTTTTAAAGGACCTTAAATGAAAATAACTGGAGATCTGGGGTCTTTGCGTATCAGCTGCCTATTCTTTGTTCAATGATTCCTTTGAAACATGTTTTTTCTTCCACTGCTACCTGGTGTCAGTTTTTTGGCTTTTTAGGCATCAAGCAAATGTGCTACCAGACAGTGGGCTTGGCCCTGAGTGGGCCAGGGGGTAGTTTGTGGGTTCTTGACTTTGGGTAGACACGAGTTTACAGTGTGAGTCCAGATGACTGTGAGGTTGAGCTGGGGACATGAAACAAGGAAGGGCCTGGCGTAGGAGCAAAAAGAAAAAGAAAGAAAAAGCCTGAGCTGGGTTATTTAGCTCACTGTTCAAGTTAGAGAAAAAGGAGCATTGGAAACAGGTTCATGGGATGAACCTGGGATGAGCGGCCGCTGCCCGCTGCTCCCCTGACTACATGTCTCGGGTCCCTTAGAATTTAGGAGACATGTGTCTGTGGGGGAGGAAGTGAGGGGAGCAGAGGGGAAAGGGAATGGCCAAGCTGCTTCCCAGAAGGAGAGCATGTTCGCTGGGTCCTTTGTCTTCAGTTTGTATCACTCTTGTAGGCAGGAATCTTAGCGGGGGTCTTGGTAAAATAGTCCTCCATTTCCCAGGTGTGTTTTTTCAGGGTCGTGGTCTCTAAGATTGGTCAGTGACAGGGCAGGGGGTCCTTAGTCCCTGGAGCTGGTTCTGCAGCAGCCCCCACCTGCTTCTGCTGCTTCTCTGGGCCTTAGATGCAATGCAACTGATGCCTAGAAGTTATCTGCGGGGAGGGGAGCTTCTGTGTTTGGCTGTAAATGTCCCGGCTGTTTTCTCCAGCTGTCTTAGTTTCCCTGTTCCACTTGTCTTGGCCTATGGCTTGTCTCAAATGGACCCCACTTTAAAATGGACAGAGTTCCAGGCTTGTGACTCCCCTGCCCCTGGGACAAAAAACACTGCTTCAGGACTCACTCCCTGAGAGCAGAGAGGAGGAAAGCAGGTGGAGGGATGAGAGGTCCAAGGGAGAGAGGGGAGTGGACGGGAAGTCTGCTCGGACCCCCCTGAGCACCTCATGGAGGCGGGTTACACACAATAATTCCAGTCCTCATAATTCCAGCGTGACCCCTGCCAGGCTGTTTTACATGTTAACTAACTGCCCCAAATGCATGCAGACCCCACAGGTTCAAGGCTGAGTGACACAAAACTGCCGTCACTCGGGATGCCAATCACAACTGGGGCGCCCTGCCTGCTCTCCTTTCTGCCTAAGTGACTACAAATTTGGGAATTCCCATGACCCCCCCCACCAGGTTTCATAATTACCTACAATGACTCACAGAACAGAGAAAAGGCTTTACTTACTATTACTGGTTTATTATAATCATATAACTCAGAAACAGCTAAATGGAAGAGACACACAGGGCAAAACATCGGGGGAGGCATGGAGCTTCCATACCTCCCCTGGGTGCCGCCCCCCCCAGAACCTCTCCAACTCCATGTTTAGGGTCTTTATGGAAGTTTCCTTCTGTTAGGACGATTGATTACATAAGTGGCCACTGTTGATTATCTCTAGCTTCCCTCCCCTCCAAGGAGTCTGGGGAATTTGGCTGTAAGGATGAAAAAGAAGGTGCGGACTAACCTGACGAGCTCAGGACAGGCCTGCGTGGGGAACCTTACAACCCGAAGACCTAGACTGACGGCACGGAATGACCTGAAATGAGGACTTCCTCACTACAGGTGACTGACTCACAGTGGATAAACATCATGTCCTAAGCCAGCTTCTTCCCTGAAAAACATCAGTCTTTATTTTAACCTGTCCTGTCTAGTGTCTTTTTTGTATTTGTAATATACTTTTGAAATGTCAGAAAAATATCCTTTTTCCTGGGCTCCCACTACACAGACCACAGAGGCCCTCAGTCCTATGTTATCGTGTTAATCATTAACTGTTAACTGTCCTGTACCAACCAACATGTTTTTTAAAATTGTGTCTATTTGTTTTACTGTTTATCCAATCCCAGAAATCCCCCCACTCTGCCTCTCCCACCTCTCTGACCCATCATCAGTGGATTTCAGGTGACCCCGTACGCCTCCTCCTCGGACTGTATAAAATAAGGTGCAGAACTGGAGCATTTCCTCAATTATTTGAGATAATCCTTCCTAGCAGTAGTCATCAAGATGGCTCATATGGACTCATCCAGATTCTCCACATGCTTCAATGATGTTTACTTGGTGTAGTACAGCAGGTTCCAGAAAAAAACACCAAAAACCACTGTGTTGGGTACCAGCGGGGTTCCCTTGTGCCCCACCAACTCCTCGCATGGCACCGGGTCAGCTTGGGTGAGATTTTCTCAGAATCCTGGACCTTCCTGTTTTCAGGTTAAAAGGCCTGAATTTGAGCTGTATTTTTAAAATCCTCGAGATGAAGCCAAAGGTTAGAAGTTGAGAGAACTGCCCTGGCTGGTGTAGGTCAGTGGATGCAGCATGGGCCTGTGAACCAAAGGGTTGCCAGTTCAATTTCCAGTCAGGGCTCATGCCTGGGTTGTGGGCACTCGAGAGGCAACCACACATCGATGTTTCTCTCCCTCTCTTTCTCCTTTCCTTTCCCCTCTCTAAAAATAAATAAATAAAATCTTTTTTTAAAAAAAGGTGAGAGAACTAAGGCTAACAAGAGTTGAAAACTCAGGATAGGGAAAAAAATCGTGGTGGTTTTTAACTTTGGCTTTCAATTGGAATTGCTTTCTCAGAGTCTGAACAAAACATTTTGCTGGATAAGCGAGACAATGAACTCATTCGGCTCCAAAGATAGAAGGCACTTTTTCCCACCAGCTGGAATCTCAGGTGTTCTTAGGTGACTAAGACTCTCTGTACAGGTGTCTGAGGAAATCCTCAAAATGAGCGGGGCCTCACGGAGAATCCCGACTCAAGCGTCTGTACAAGGATACGCACAGGAGGGAGAGAAACCAAGACACCTCAGACTGTTTGTTGTGACCTGAGAGGTGACAGCCCCTTAGAGCTTAACCACAGGTGCCACTCAGAAACCCACCACACAGCATTTGTAGAAATCTGCTCAGATCGGCCAATATCCAATCAGACTAAAATCAGTGTGAGAAATCGTGTCTCCAAAGCCAAAGCCTCTCAGCCCCAGCCCCCTTTACGACTCCTGGGGGGTCTATCCTGTGTCTAGGGAGACTTCACTTGCAAGTGCTCACAAAAATATGAAGACTTAATTAGGAACAGTAGCCATTTATCACAGCCAAAAGAGAACTGTTTTGGCACCTAACTGATGTTGGCATGCAACATTAGGAAAAAGCCTTCTGAATGAATGGGGTGCTTATCTTTATTGGACATTAGAAGTGTCTAGAAGGAGCACAAATACTTTTTTTAAAAAGAAGTTAATAAGAACTTTTTACGGACAGTTGCTGAACGAAAGAAGGCTGCTAAAGCTTATAACTGCTATCAGCCCACTTCTCCCCTTTCTACATTTCCTTCATTATATCCTTTGCCCTTGAGCTTCCTTGTCTGGCCTTGCCCTTTGCCTCCCTTCTTTTTTCCCCTTCTACCACCTTCACATCTCCTCCACTACCACTCCCTAGTGAACTGTGGGAACGTGAGAACAGGAATTCAGACCAGAGTCATCCGGGAATTCTGGTGGCTCCCTTCAGGGAGAAGCCAGTCCCAGGCAGAGGAGAAACAGTCATTATGTATGTGCTCCTAAGCCTAGAATAGAATTTTATCTACCTAAAGACACAAACACTTACAAGGAATGCGCCTTCTTAGCGTGTTGGGACCATACTATCTAGCAAAAAGGCTGGACATCAGTGCATTCCTTAGATCGATTTATGATGAAAAGGAGGGAGTTTAAACAAGCAAACAAAAAAAGGGCCACTCATGAGAGCTGACGAGCTCAAGGGAAGCCTGCGTGGTGGGACTCAGAAACTCAGAAAACCAAAGTGACCACACTGGACGCTCTGAGGCTGAAACGTCCTGACCCAGAGTGAGTGGTGGCAGCAGCCATGGCCTAGGGCAGTGTCTTCCCTGATTGAGGTCAGCCTTGACCTTAACTGAGCCTGTCTGTCATCCTTTGCATCTATGATAACAACCTTGGGCAGGTAAGCGTGATTTTTTTCCTCACGGCACCAGAGCAGACTCCACACACCCCTCCACATATCATTATGATATTCTTCATTAACTGCAACCTCTCCTGTCCCACCCGACTTCAAAAAAAATACTGGTCTCTTTGTTTCACTTTTTCATCCAGCCTCAGAGAGTTTCCTGTTCTGGTTTGTCCCATCCCCCTAATATAATGTCAGCGTATTTTTTTAGACATCCTGCTTTGACTGTACCGTACAAAATGTGGAGCACACCTACCATTCTCTGGAGCATTTTCTCCGTCCATTGAGATTTTCTTCCCCTGGTAACTGTCATCCAGTTTGGCTTAAGCAAACTCATAAACATTCTCTACAGATTCAAACATTTCTTACACTGCGGGCTGAGAATGTCAAGCTTCTCACCAAGACTCGGTTTTTCTGGCAGTCGGCCTTCACCCCGCAATTAGCTAAGGACCAACCCTGAGTTTCCTCAACAGGACCAAAGACGCACTTACCACCTTTATCACTCAGAAAGCACCAAGATCCTAGCTGCTCTGTTCTGAGAACCAGGAAAGAACACCAGATGTCTTTCTACAGTGTAACAGGAGAAAACTGAGGCTTCCTAACATAGGGTTGATTGCTGGGGGGGACAGGCAGCAGACCAAGGCAGGGAGGGGGAGAGACGTGTCCCACCCACTGACTCCGCAGGCCTTGCACTTCCATGCATCTTTTCCATTTTCTGGGAAACAAAGCCTTTGAAACTGCTTTCATCCCAAGGCCTGAAAGGGCCCAGAGTGCCTAAAGGAAGAAGCCCACTAACACCTTTGGGTATTCATGCCCCTGTCCTGGAAAGTAGCACCACCTTTACCTGTCAATCGCTATGTAACCCTCCCCCATCTGGCCAACTATGTAAGTCCCCAGAACAAAGGATCTCTCTCTTGCTCTTGCCTTTCTCCCCGACCTGGGCAAGGCCTGTCCTCTTCCATGAGAACATATCACCAATAAACCCTGTTTGCACAACAATAGACTCGCTGATCTGTAATTCTTCACTGCATTGGCGAGAACTGAGTTCCTGGGAGGTTCTCCCGTGGTGGACTCAGACAGGACGTGTACGGTGCATCAGCACTTGGCTTCTATCCTCCATTTCCTTCTAAGTTCCCCATATACCAGAGGGACTGAAATTTAAATACTACTTGTCCACTATTCCTAGTGATTGAGAATCCAGGTGTGAATTAATGCAGTTTCTGAGATGCACTGGTTCACAACTGAGGAGCTGGGAGATGGGGTCATTATTTCTGCTACTGTGTTGACTGATGGGTAGACAGCAGTAGACACAGGTTCATGTGAAGAAGCAGGTGATTCTGCACCTCTGGGTGGTGCTGTGGACGTGTGACCTTGAGACAAGACTCCAGGGGTAACTCCCTCACTTCCATTCCTCTGGCTGGTCATGGCTTTACAAGCACCTAATTCTTTGTGTTAAAGACCTTTCTGCACAAGTGTTCATGGCAGTGTTACGTGTAACAGCCCCAAATTGGAACCAACGCAAATGCCCAAGAAGGGTGAATGGATTCACACATTTGGTGCATCCCTACAGTGGCACAGAGCTGAGGGATACATTTTAAAGAACTATATCAAAATAATCACGTTGAGTCGAGAAGCCAACCTCTGCCCAAAATTACATATTGTATAATTCAAATTTTGAAAATTCTAGAAAATACAAACTAATCTATACTTACAGAAAACAGGTGAGAGTTTTTATATCACTGGGGGAGGAGGTGGGAGAGGGGCAGAATGAAGAGATTACAGAATTACCCTCGTTGTAACAACTTTTCTGGTGCATGCCTCTAGCAACATTTAATGCATTGTATACTTTCAATATGTTAAGTTCATTGTATGTCAACGATAATAATACAGGGCCCAGCAGAAGTCAGGCCTGCTTGAGTGTGGGTGGTAGGGTAAGAATATGGATGTAATAATTTATAGCTTTAATTTGAATATCTCACCTAAAATGTCATATACTCTGCTCGAGTGTGATATTATGTTACAGAATTACATGTTTATGATTTTTAATAAAAGATTTAAAGGGACATATAATAAAAAGGGACATTTGCGCCACTATTTTAAAAATTACATATACGCATTTGAAAAATGGCTTAAAGTATATGTTTTATAGAAAATAGAAAAGTCACACTGGCTGGTGCGGCTCAGTTGGCTGGAGCATCATCTTGTAAACCAAATGGTCGAGGGTTCGATCCCCAGTCAGAGCACATGCCCAGGTTGCACATTTGGTCTCGAGTCAAGGTGCGTACAAGAGGCAGCCAATCAATGTTTCCCTTTCACATGGATGCTTCTCTCTCTCTATCTCCCTCCTTTTCCCTTTCTCTAAGGTCAATAAGCATGGTCTTGAGTGAGGATTTAAAAAACAGTATGGAAAACCCAAAAAAATACCTAACTGTAACATCTTTTTCCTGCACATTTTTTCTATTGTCCACCAGAGGGCAGCAGAGATATTCTGCGACTGGAAGCCCCCTCCTCAGCATCACCCACAGCCCAGCAGGGCCCAACCTCACCAGCGTCACGCCGACCACAGTCCTCCTCGCCCTCCAAGCTGCCCACACCGGACTCTGTCAGCTTCTTCATCCAGCCAGGCATCTGCCCACCTGAAGTCTGGCCCTCTGCTGGCAGCTCCTCCTCACCACCCTCTGTTCTTCAAGGGGAATGGCCACTAACTCTTCAGGTCTCGGCCAAGAGGTCACCTTCTCAGAGGTGCTCTGTGATCCCCAGACCAGCTGAGACCCAAGTACATGCTCTGGACGCACAAGAAGTTTTCCTTCACAGCCCTTCTCTGGAGTGTAGTTAACCCCTTAGAGCTGAGATTTATCTGAGACCCTGTCTTGGTGACAAGATAAACTCCATGAGAACAGGGCTCATGTACATCCTGTTCTCTGTGGAGATCCCAGGGCCCAGCCCAGGACCTGACACATCACAGATGCTCAGTGACCACTCATTAAAGGGATGAGGGAAATCACCCAGTGAGATCCTGCAAACCTGCGGGACACCTACCATGGGAAAATGTGTTTTTATGAACACGAAGTCATTGGTGTCAGCATGGGAGGAAAAGCAGGGTCAGGGCTTTACGTTTCACAGAGCCAGGAGAGAGGACAGCAAGCTCTACCCGGTGAGAGATCCGACCACCCTTCATCCCCCGGCCACAGCCCTTCCCACCCTCACCTGAGTGAGGGGTGTCTCGTCTCCCCGGACTCTGGGCAGCAGCCTGTGTCCTTCCTCTTCTCACAGAGATTCAATACGGCAACGACTCTGGATCCCCAGCCACAGCTAGAGTTACTGCCGGAGGAGAAAGGAGCCCACGCAGGTCTCAGATAAATCAGGGGATGGCTCCCCGTCCCCAAGGTCCCTGGTCTGTGAAACACATTCCCCTGGTCCCTGAAAACTTCTCACTGGCTCATGGTGTCCTGAGGAAGTAAAACTTCCTGTGAAGGACGGGGCCAGGGGACCCAGGCCTGTGGTTGCTTCTGTCTCAGAGGAGCTGAGGGTCTCACAGGAAGGAACCTCCACTCACAGAGAACCCACAGGGTGCCCTGCCTGGGTCTCCACGTGGAGCTGCTCCAGGTCCTAGGCCTGTGGGGATCTAGAGCAGATGACAGACAGGGACACGGATGATTTGGATGCCGTGCCCCAATGCTGTGATGGGGGACACATGGGACATTTGGGGGACCGACCCTTGCATTCAGCACCCTCTCCCAAGAGCCTGAAGAAAGCTTTCACTAGGCCCTTTCCTGGATACGGTGGACACAGAGAGCTTCCCCCAAAACAGCCCATCTCCCTAGGGGGACGGTTCTCCTAACACTGGACTCACAATACTCTGGACAACACCTGTCCTGTCACTGGGCTCACCCCGTACTGAGATGTAGTCAGGAGACCTGGGGACCACAGTGACAGGGCCCCAACTGACCAGTCTGTCAGACCGAAGGTCAGAGCCACCTGTGTCCTGGACACGGGGTCAGCTCCCATTCTCTGGAGCCTGGCCAGCATCCCTGGTGCAGCCCAACACTGGCTGCGAGTCCCCTCCTGCCCTCCAGGTGGCGACATGGAGACACACAGACAACACACAGGAAATTCACACGTCACGTGGTGTGAACTTGGCTTTGGTGAAGGAGGCAGAGAAGGAACCTGATTTACATACAGCCCTAGCTCAGACAGGCCCCTCAGGGCCCCTCCTTCCTGCCTGCTCTGTCCTATCAGCTTCTTTCGAGGACTGTGCAATAAATTTGGCAAGCTCAGTGACCAAAAGTAACCACCGCTAAGTGAGCCCTGTCCCCTGGTCTTGTGAACCTTGAATGACCTAACTTCAACACATCAGAGTGAACTTCTCTGCGAGACTCGAAGGCACAGCCTCTGGGAGCAGACCACGAGACCCCAGAGCCCTTCAGGGGCTCTGGTTCCCTGCACGCCCTCTCCTGTGCTGTGAATGTCGATGTAAAAATATATATATATAGATAGATAGATATGTGTCTTTCATCGTTTTGCCTTTTATCCAATTCTAGAGATTTCCCTGCTGTGCTTTCTCTCACCTCCTGATGGATTTCATGCAACTTTTTATCTTCTCCTTGGATTCTAATGTGCAAAATAAGCTGCAAAACTGTCGCTCTTTGCAAGACTTGAGATCCTGCTCCCTGGCATATGACGTCCCTCAGAGCCGAGATTTATCTGAGTTTGGCTCAAATAAACTCGTAAAGATTCTCCACAGGCCTGGACATGTCTTGATTTGACAGGGTCTGGGAGGCCCTGCCCTCTCAGGGGTCCCTGTGCCGCCCCCCACCTCATGTGTGGCACCATCTGTGGGTAAGGTGAGGGGACCACAGGAGAGTCTCCCAGGCAGAGGTGACAGGTGTCCCAGTGATGGGGGGAGGGGCACAGGGACAGGCTCAACCAACACACATGGCAAAGGAGGGTCTGGAACCATCCCCGAAAACAGAGGAGGCCACAGCCACCTGACTGCTTACCACAGTCCTCTCTTCCCGAGACATGCTGGACACCTTCCCCTTCACACGTGGGAACAGCAGGTCCTTCCGAGACTCCAGGTCTCTGCTCTGTGTTGCTGGGAATAAAGGCCAGGCTGGTGGCACCTGAGGGACAAGGAGGGACTTCTCTGCAGTCATCTCCCACCTGACCTTTCCTCACCCCAGAGTCCTCTGTGCCACTTTCTGGCCAGGAGAAAAGTCCATCTTCTCAGAGCATCAGAGGACAGAGGGTGTCCAGCTGTGTTTCTGGGTTAGGGTTTGGGGGCCCCTGGGGCTCTCTGTGTGGCACTGACCGACCCAGGACCACGACACGGCAGAGGCCAACGCTGGGGGGAGTGTGCATCGGCTGCAGGCACGGGTCTCCATCAGCCTTGTTACTGCAGGTGAGCATCACAGGCCGCAGGACCCGCCTCCCCCAAGAGCCTGCTGGTTGCGGAGTCTGGTCCACTGCTCCCCTGCAGAGTCAGAGTCTGAGTTTTCCCAGGATCCAGAGACTTGCCCTGTGCATGGAGAGCTGGAAGGGATGTTCTCCACCCGTACCACAGGATCATATTCTGACTGGATGTCCACATAAGCTGGGCAGCTGCTGAAGCAGCATTTCTAAGGTGTCACCTGGGCATTGTCGTCTTCACAGAGTTTCACAAGTGATCCCATGCACAGCAGGGGCGGCATCCCTGGGACAAGTTTTCCCGAGGTAGCCCCAGGGCTACTGCTGTGAAGGGGAAAGTCAAGTGTGAAAGAGACAGGCTGTGGGAAAGGCTACTGGGCAGGGGCAAGGGGCTGTGGGAAACACTTGGGACCCGGACCCCTAGGCTTGTGCTTCTCCAAACAGGGTGTGTGTGTGTGTGTGTGTGTGTGTGTGTGTGTGTGTGTATGTGTGTGTGTATGTGTGTTTGGAGGCTCAGCAGTTCCCAGGGAACTGAAATATAAAGAAACAATAAACTGAAAAGAGGAGACAAAAGTGGCAAAAATGAGGGGAGGGAGAGGGAGAGTCCCGGGCGCAGACTCTGCCCCCAGCCCACGTGACCAGGGAGGTGATGTGGCTGTAAGGGGAGGCTCAACACACAGGGAGGAGGGAGAGCAGCGTCCACCAGTCCAGACAGGAGTGCCCGTGAGCCTTGCTGCCCCTCAAGCTCTTCTCAGAGAGGGAGGGACACAGCAGACAGCAGACGCCATGGAGTCCCCCTCAGCACATACCCACACGGGGCGCGTCCCCTGGCAGGGGCTCCTGCTGACCGGTAAGGAGGGGACGGTCCTGGGGGTGGATGGGAGGATGGGAGACAAAGACCAGCTGGGATCTATTGGAAAGCGCAGCACTCTGAGAGGGCACAGAGGGCTTCTGTTTGGCCCCGAGGGGAGAGGACAGGGAGCAGAGTAGGATGGGGTTTGGGGGGCTCAGCAGCAGGGAAATCCCATGACCTGGAAGTGTGAGGGGCAGCAAAACCTCGACTGCTGTTCATTTCTTAAGTTACTCATCACTGAGAGTTGAATTCTGAAAAGTGATGATAATAATAACAATTTATGTCAGGTGACACCAGAAAAAATTTAACCAGGGGAATCTAGACATTGTCTTTACGACCATCCTCAGAGATGGATGAATACTCCCCAGGAGGTGCAGGACCCTGGTGGGACCACTCACTCAGCCCCCCACAGGTAGGAACAGCTTGTTGCAGGCACTGGGGGTGCAACCGGATCAGACAAGCCCCCACCCCCCAGGAGCTCCCATTTTATGTGGAGGAGAAGGACAAGGAAAGGTCTAAATGTGATGTCAGCTACCCACAGGGGCCACGAACTTACAAAGTGAGGGCAGGTCCAAGGTGAAGACACAGGGTCTTTAGAGAAGGTGGTCAGTGAAGGTGTCTTTCGAAGAAGCCCCCGAGGGCAGTGAGGGGGGAGCCAGGCAGACCCCTGGGGAGGAGTATTTGGAACAGAAAAAATAACAGGTTTGGAGGTGGTTAAGTCATTTTGGCCATGCTGCTGACCTTGACCATGGGAGACACACACACTAACTCACTCACACACATACACACAGGGATACTGAGGAGTAAAAATACCTGCTCAGAACCCGGGGCCTCATCCTTCCACCCACCACAGAGATCCAAACACTGATCAAGTTCTCTCTTTCTTTCTTCCTAGTCTCACTGTTAACCTTCTGGAGCCCGCCCAGCACGGCCCAACTCGCCATTGTGTCCACCTACGCCGCCGAAGGGAAGGATGTGCTTCTGCGCATTCGCAACAAGCCTCAGGAGGTGATAGGCTACATGTGGTACAAGGGGGAGGGGACGAACCCCAATCGCAACATCGCCTCTATCGCGGTGGGCCCAGGGTTGTATGCAACGGGGCCTGCCCACAGCCGTCGGGAGAAAATCAATAACGACGGATCCCTGCTGTTAAGGAGGGTCACCCGGAAGGACTCGGGATACTACACCATAGTCGCCTACCTTCACGACTCAAAAAAGGAAATAGGATTCGGACGGCTTAATGTGTACCGTGAGTGACTGCTCTCTGACCTCTGGGTGTCGGGTGGG